TACCCAAATGAAATTGCCCCTCTTCTATTTATTTAGAGCCACTCTCTACGTGATGATACATGTCTTTAGCTCATAGAGCAAAATCTCTTTGATTTTAAATGCATAGAATTTTAAAAGAAAGTAACTTAAAAAGAGATTTTTTTTTCAGGCAACTAAACTACTAGCTAGACCTCCTTCTTTATACCCAGATAGCCCTAACATGGTGGGGGTGAGAGGGAGGGTCAAAGGAAAAAAATCAGAAAAATATGATTTCGCAATGCAGTCTTTTTAGGCTCTGAACCACTGATGAATACCTGGTTGATGTCCAGAACCCTTATAGTCAGGGTTTGCCAATTATTTGTTTGCACAAGAGACACATGGCCTTCTGAAACCTTTTTTTCCTCCAAATCATGAATTCTTGGAATTAATGGATAATTTAACTGAAAGGATCAGCCTAGTTAGCAGAAGAATAGTGATGATTTGGAGTTGTATTCTGCTAGATCGCATGCTATTTCGAATTACCTACAATTAATGTCATTTCACAATATTATCTGTAGGAGAGCATTTTTCCTTCCTTGCATTTTCTGCCTCTTTCATACCATTGTTAGCACCACAATGGAGAAACCCTAAAAAGCTGTTCACGAAAATAATTTGAACCTGAACTTGTGCTCTTAGAAACAACTGCACTTGCAGATCTCCCCGTCCTCATATTCAAAAGCACCCACACTCATAGGGTCTCTTTTTCTGTGTTCTCCTAAAACAGGGGAAACTGTATTCAGTGTATAAAAATAAGCTATTGTATCTCAGAAAGGAGATGGGATGCTAATTAAGGGTTCTTTGAATGAACAAGTCATATTGCATTGTCTACTGGGAGCTGGCTGCCAATTGCATTTTTGGTAAAGAGTCAGGAAAAACATTCAAGAGGCTCCGGCAAGCTTGGGAGCGAAGGGAGCAGCGCTTCCATTTATCAAGTGGGTGCACAGGCCTGTTCGAGCATTGTTGCAAGTCGGGGTGCAGGCTGCGAGCTGCTGCCTCGGAGCCTCTCCTGCCTGTTTTGAGAACCACCTTCCCGAAGAGGGGCCTGCCGCTCAGGTCTGATCGTGGACAATGGGGCGCGTAGGCCATGCTGCTGGGCCATTGAATGCCTCTTTTTTTTGTTCAGTACTTTTTTCAAGATTCTTTGTCTCTTTTTGGATTCATCCGGGAGGAAAGGGTTTTAAAATATACAATAGGTCGGGTCTTGCAGAGAAATAATTGATGCTTCATTAAAGGACGCCAGGCAAGTTGGTTAGTATGATCATCTTTAACAAACTGGGGAAATTTTAGACATCTGACAACTCATAAATGAGCAGGGAAATTAATTGCTCTATTTTTAAAAGGTTTTTTTTTTCTTTCTTAATGTTAACGTTATGTCAGCCAGAGTAAGCCTTTAGCCTGATTGCCTGACAGGTGTGGGGCTCACGTAAATAGAGGTGAAAATGATTTACTTTGTTTGGAAAAAGACCAGAATATAGAAGGTGCAAATATGGTTTTATTGTAACGGATGAAAGAAACAGTGAGTCAATCAGGTATAAAGTGACTTCTTGGTGACTCTAGCTTGTGGAATCGTTAGTAGTAATGAGCATGATAGAATCCCAAATTTCTGATACTTTGCATGTCTTTTCCTTTAGTTCTGTAATTATGTGATTCTTTTGCTGCCTTTTTGAATTGTATGTTCTTCATTTTTTTCAAGTGTGATCATATGCTTTTGACATACATGTGAAGAAACAAGTGTCCCGAACACTTAAAGGTCCTGATTGCAGGCAACAAGTGAAGGAGTTTCCCTATGAGTGTGCCTGTGTGTTTGGAAGAAACTAGTGCTATTTATTTTTTTTATTATTATTATTTTTGATATTTTTTGTTTGTTTGTTTAAAATATTACAGATGTCCCTTTTCCTCCCCAATGACCCGTTCCACCCAGTCCCATCCCCCTCCCCAGTCCCTCTCCCCACCATTGTCCATGTCCTTGGGTTGTGTGTATATGCACATAAATTCTTTGGTTACTCTCTCCCCCTCCACCCACCCGCCCTCCTCCATCCCTCTGACATTCATCAGTCTCATCTATGCTTCCATGTCATTGAATCTATTCTGTTCATCAGTTTATTAAGTTCTTTAGATTCCACATATAAGTAAGATCATGTGATGTTTGTCTTTCGCTGCCTGGCTTATTTCACTTAGCATAATATTCTCCAGGTCCATCCATACTGCCCCAAAGGGTACAAGAACCTTCTTCTTTACAGCTGCATAGTATTCCATGGTGT